ACAGTAAAGCTACTGCTCAGAAATAAACCCAAAGAGGGCAGAGATCAAGCTCTTTCCTACGGTGTTCTGGAGAGACTTAAGGCATCATTCATTCAAAAAGAAAAAAATACATTGATTCCAAGGTCTAAAGAGTTTGTTATTTATGTCAAAACAGCTAGAGCAGATGCGGCAGAAGTTGACAGTAACCTGCTGCTCCATTTTCACAGTAAGTCTGCCTACGAGGGCAAATATAATTATTTGTTGAACCTATCAACTACGGGTAGACTTAATGTGTCATATCTAATGAAACCCCCATAGAAATACGTGCAAATGTGTGCTGTTGCACCTAAAAGAGAGGGTTTTTTCAGTCTTCATGCCCAGGCAATGCCTGTATCACGTAAGGGAGCACAGCGACGGGTCCTTAGCAACCAACCTGTGCAGGGCCATCCAAAGGTATAAGCTCAGGTCCCTGTGAGCTCTATGGCTGTCTCAGGTCACTGCACCTGAACAGTTAGCCCTGTTGTTCTGAAGGGTGTTACAAAGACACAGTGTAATACTGGTCTGACTAGACTTCAGAGGCATCTAGTACATTTGGGTGTATTTTAGTGCCTTGCAAAAGGCACATGAAGGAATAAACACAGATAGCCCAAATGTCCCTCCTGGTGTTTTGATGGATCCAACTTTACATCACAAAAATATCCACCATCTCTTTGGAGAAGTGAACCAGACAGTTGACAAGACCTTTCCTAGAGACTTTGCTGCTCCATCTTCTGTTGCCTGATGGAAAGATGTACTTTACTCAAACTACCTACTCATCATATTGCTCTTGTTACTATTTATATCACAGTAGCATGTAAACACCTTAATCAAATAAGACTAAAAAGATTGGAAAGGAACTGCTTGAAGAATTTGCAATAAAAAAGACATACAAAAGTAGAAAGTAATTAAAATGCTAAAACATGAAGTCACTTGCTGCCCAAGTTCCCAGAAGTCAGTTATCCCACTGCTTGTCTATTTTATTAGGACTTTGGCTTTTCAAGTTTGTTGCTGTCAAATATTTTCTTTTCTTCATGAGATTCATACACACACACACGGCATAAAACATCCCAGGAACAGGATTAGAAAACATCCCAGGATTAGACATATTTCACCCTGGCATACATTCCATCTGGAGAAATGAAGTTTTTGAAATCAGAAGACAGTTTTGCTAGCATCAGACACCGATTTTCTTCTGCCATGAAAATGCCTGCAGGGTGACTGTAATGAGAAGGAAATAGCTCACTTCTTTCTCAACTGCCTTCCAGAGTTTGCTGATCTCAGTCTGGGTTTAGACATTGTGAGTCTGGGAAACAGACTTCAACAGTGCTTCAGATCCAGTGAGTAACATGCAGAGAAGTTACAAAGCTGTTCTTTGTTGACATCCTATTGTTTCTTTGCAAGTGATATTTTGCAAAAAAGAAGTAGTTAAAATCCTTTTCATAGTAAATGCAAGGACAACCAGTGTTTATGTGATGGCAGCTTCAAAATTTATATGGGGTTGTGTTTTTCCTCCAGCTGTATCAGGTACCACTGAGAATCAGGGCTGGAAGTTCCAAAGACAAGCAGTGAAAAATATTCTGTTCCTGTCATATGTGTTGTGAATGCATTAATTTTTTCTTGAATGATGAAACAAGGAGACCTGTAAAACAACAATCTATTTGTAATGGGATTCTGGACATAGCATCCTGATATACAATCTCATCTGAGATCTGAAAGAGCTCTGCCAGTGTCAGTGTGATAAATGCTATTTTTAGGGACAAGATGAGGGGAAACATTACCCTGGTGAGAGCACGTGTGAGCAGCAGAACATGGCAAGTGCTGTGCCGTGTCTCAGCCTGGGCACAGCCAGGATGGGTGTTCTGTCAATCAAGGCCAATCTGTGCACACACAGGTATGGTAAAGGCAGGCGGTGGGGAAAAACGCTGCATGCCCTCGATGTGTCATGCCACATGGTGCTGGCCACGCACCTGGGCAGCTACGGAGATAGCTGTGGACATGCAAAACCCTGGGCTGCGGCTGCCTGGCAATTTGCTGCTGAAAGCATATGGGAAGTCACCACTAACAGACCTGCTGCTGCTGTAAATTGAAGTTGGACAGCGTAATTTCATTTCTAAGCAGTCCCCATGAATGGGAGGAGAAAGCCAGGGCTCTCTGCGAGCAGGGGGCCTGGTTGCAGAGCAGCACGATGTCTCTCCCAAGAGTGAGCACCTGTCACCAGGAGAAGTGACATCACCCCCATGTCTCTGCCCTGGTCTGGTGATGGGGCAAGAAGGTGGAGCAAAGCTGCACTCTGCATCTTCTATCCCATTACTTTATGAGGCACAGACAGAAAAGTTTCTTTTTCCTGTGCATTTCACCTGTGAAAACTCTGTCTCATGCCAGTGTAAGCACACTTCAGCAAGGGCAAGACACAGCATCCCCCAGCATAGGGCCTCAGTTCTGCAGGAGTAGGATGCTGGCACAGATCCTTTGCTCCCAGCCTGTCTGGTGATGGCTATTTTGGTCTGGAGACCAGGAAAGGCTTTTGGCTCTTGCCAAAAATAGCATGTCAGAAGGCAATTGTGCAAAAGTGCAGCAGGTGGGCTGGAGGTGGGGGACACTGAGATGCATACAGGTGTTTAGTGGGGCCAAGCCACAGAGGTGAATGGTGGTTTCTTGGTCCTATAAGGGCTGCTGGGTATAGGAACAGATGTAAGGAAGGTGACCCAGGGGCACCCACTGGTCTTCAGCTCATCTTCCCCACTCCTCACTGTCCTTTCTGTGGAACAAAATGTAGAGACACGGGGGTGTGGGACAAGGAGGTTCTGCTTGCGTGCAAGCGTTAGTCAAGGCCACAGCTGCACAGTTAGGTGAGACCCACCAGATGACTGCCGCAAAAGCCCTGCTGTGGGATTGAGGTTGTGCCAAGGGGTGATGGAGGCCAGCTGCCCTGCCCATGCCCCCTGGAGAGCCTGGGGACACGTGGGAGCCCTCAGGGGGCATGGGCAGGGCAGTCCTCCTTGAGTAGCACCCAATGGGACAAATCACAGCAGCAGCCTGCTGCAGGGCAAAGCTGCTCAGCTCACATGGATTAAATCACATCAGGATCAATGATTTATTCAATTAACAACACCTAACTGACCAGCAATCAGTGGGCTATACATTCAGTTTTGATACCAACAGTACAGCAGATAAACCACAGTAGTAGACACCTAGCAAAAGTTTATAAACATCCTTCTAACCCCAAAACCATCTGGTAGTTCACACTGACACACATGTGTGCATGGTTGCAGTGGGGGCTACACACACATCATGTCCCCAGGACCAGATGCTTTCGCAGCTTGCCCGGTCCCTCTGCATGGCAGGACGATTGCCTGCTGTCCCAGCCTCCCCCAGCACCACAACACCCCCCTGCTCACTGAGGGTGTGCTCTGCGTGGAGCTGTTTTCCCATGGGCAGGAGCAGGGCCACCCCTTGGGCCTGAAAAATATCCCCTCTCTGCCTGGGGCACTGCTGAGTCTCCTGCTCTTCCTTATCCAGTTATCAGGTGTAAGTTTAACAGAATTATGGGCTCCCCTTATGTGCCTTCCTGACCTTGGGCTTTGGCTTGTTCCCTTCTTGTTTTGGGAATCGCTGGAGCGTTACTGCAAAAGCAGGCTCCTCCTGTGAAAGCATACAGCGTGTGTGTGTGCAGAAAAACCTTTTATTCCATGGATCTGCTGGCAATGGCTCCTGAGTCAATCTCAGAAATGTCTCTGTGAAGACTCACCCCCTTTGAGATGGCACCTCATTTCATACAGGGTCATTGTGTTCTGCTCTGCAGAGAAATGCTCTGATGTGGCTGCTATGATGATGGGCACCCTGCCCATGATGGTGGATGTGGTACAAGAAAGGTCAGAGGCGCCTACCAGCTCATACCTGAATGCCATGATTTTATTTTCCATGAGAGGGCGGGTGACAGGCCTAGGTTTTGGCAGAACCAGCACAGCGGTAACTCTCATGGCCTCAAAAGGAGCTGTGTCTGTCTGGAACTCCAACCTTGTCACTTCACTTTGGTCTTCCAAGTAGTGGTGCTCTCCCCTGCTGCTGAAGCCACGATACAGGACAATGCAGTGTACATCAAAAACAATGTTTCTAATGTCCTGTTGGCAATATCTGTCATGAGGACAATGGTTTCTCCAGGGCAAAATATGCCCTTCTCCAGGGAAATCTGAAGGATCACAGCGCCATGGCTGAAGCAGCAGAAATAAACTACATCCTTTCTAGCTTCCACCACCACTGAGGCCTGCATGGAGAAGATGATTGGAGAGCAAAGCATGGTGAGTTCTTGTTGCTGGATACCAGGTGATTCCCAAACTCCTAACATGTGCAAACTCCTAATGCACAACAGCTGAGGCTGTTCAACTCTCCCTACAAGCCCCACCATTAACCCAGAGGACAGTCTTCCTCGCTGCACCAAACATGATATGGCTGAACTATCACAATCCTCCTGAGCATCTGTGGAAAAAATTCATCTGTACACATGTAAATATTGTCACATCTAGCTATCCATACCCAAATTTAGAGGAAGGCCACAAATTTGTTAGAATCATCATGTTCTGGCTCTATTGATGACCTTTGACTGACTGTCCCAGCCTAGGTAGTGTTCAGTGAAAAAGGCATCTCTTATTTGGTGATGCTTGCCCAAGGCTTAGACTTCAAAACAAGAGAATAACCTCCTTTTTCCCTCATCCTGGATCTCAAAGCATTCCCTGTATGTCACTCTTGAAGTCTTACAATGCAACTTGTACGCTAGAAAAGATACACCTTTGTGCAAGCACTAGGACAAAGATGACAGAATATACTGAAGTGTCATTTGGATGCTAAAAAGAGGAGGCTCAGAGCTAAAAGTTTGTGGACACTCAGTAGTGAGCAGTTACAGATCTGCATGAGAACAGGGTAAGTCTGTGTCTCCAACTCAGATAGCTTGTTCCCCTTACCTTGTCTTTCACATGCCCTCTGTGGTCACCAGCAGTTCCTTGCGACAATAAACATCTCTTTAGCTAAGACAATTTGGCGGCTGCAGCAAGTCCCTTGAAGAAAGCAGGAGATGCAGCCAATTTTGCTGGTGAATGTGGAAGGAATACTTGGAGGCAAGCAGAAGTGGAAGTCAAAGGTGTGGACCCCAGGCAGATATCTGAAAGTCAAACAACACGCTGCTATCAGAAGCCTTTTAAACATTGAGGATTTTGTACCTTATGGTAACCTTGATGTTTTGCCCAGAATGCAAGGTGTTCTCACCATCTGGTATTGCACCCAAAGTGCCATAAAGGCATGGTATAAGGTGGATTTTGCAGGTCAGAAGGCGGTATGGACCCCTACCAGTCAGAACTGAGAACTTCTAATCTGCCTCATTTTAACACAAGGTCAGCAAACCCGCAGTTCCTTGCAAACCGTTTAGGATTTTCACCTATCAAAATGGAGTGCCACAGGCGTTTAACTTTGCAGATGAGCACTAATAGGCTTTGAGGGAGTAAAGTGGTGTAATACCTCTCCTCTTATCATTGTCTACAATACTTGTGCATATGATCTGAAACTTTTGTTTCACCTGTGTAAAAGACCCCACTCACAATATTTGGCACCTTTTCTGCACAGCTGTGAGACAGGAAAGTTACGATCCACTCCTTCTAATGGTCTTTGCTTCTGTGCCACTTCCTCTTAATCAAATTTAGTTTTGTGTGGGTGAGGTCCCACTGACTGTAATGAAAGACTGTTCCACCTATGCAAGGATAAGTTTGGCCCCTTCTGACCAGACAAGACCAGCTCTAGACTCTTTTCTTCATCAAAGACCTATTTCTCTTAAACACGTTTATCTGTTGGCAGCTTTATCATCCAGACTTAAGCTTTCCTTCCTCCTATTAGATTGTGCCAAAACTTCACTTTGAACAACAATATTGGGGGATGTGAGACCGATAGAATTTTGTCCTGCTGACTGTATCCTTTTGCAGATTAATTCCACTATGCCTCAAGTTTTAATAATCTAAACTGGATGTTCTTGTTGTCAGAAGAGCCTGGACATTGTTTCCTCACAGCATGGGAGATTTACCAGATGGCGTAACAGCATTTTCAATCAGAGTTGTAACTCTGAAGAAAAGAAGAGCCTAAAACAATCTGAAAGGGAGGAAACTAAAATTCACCTGCATCTTAGATAACTGCAATATAAGAAAGTCATGTTCTTTATTCTGACAGTTTGTAGAAACCTGATATTCCCAGAGCCTTACCTCATATGATGTTGTCTTTAAGTTATTTTGGCAATGTTCCTGTTCTGTTAGAAGGAAGGACTTTGAACTGTGAGCAGATCTGCAATTTAATCTTGAAAGAAATCACTGTTCACCTCCTGGAATGATCTGCAGTTGGGCACTGGCCTGAGTGGTCTCTTTCTCAGCCCCAGCAGTGTGGGGAACTACTGAAAGAGTTCACATTTCTTAATCCCTGAAGAAGGTATGGCCTGAGAGCCTGACTTTGTGTGTAGGGCTGAAATAGGCCCTGTGGTGCAAACCTTTGCTTGCAGATACTTATTTCATTCTATATACAGATTTAACCTCACTTACTTTGACTTGTTTTGCATCACTTCTAAAGAGACCTCTTTGAACTCTGCCCACTTGCTAAACTGTGCTTAACTTTCCACACAGGTCAAAAGGACAGCAGCCTTAAACCTTGGAAGTGAGGGTGCACTCACTTTACCTTGCTCCCCATGGCTGCTGAATGTGAGCCCCATTGCACAGGAGCACCAACCTTCTCCAAAAACCTTATTCTTCTGAAACCAGGCAACAGAATTAATTCCACTGGAGAAAGTTTCCCAGCAGCTGCAGGGGTGGGAGGGTGCTCCCAAGAGTTAGCTTCCTGGAGGCACCCAGGGATACCACACACTTGGTTTTCAGCAGAACTTGGGAACTTCGGTCCCACTGAATAAAGTAACTCAATTCCAGACAATTTATTGTGTTACCTAATTCAAAAAGTGTTCCATCTTGTACTTCCCAGCAAGGGAGATGATACCTGCAGCTGTGGGGAAAGTGCGAAGAGGCTGCTGTAGGAGTGACTTGAGTGGTGGCCTTTCTATGAGGGACACAAGGGATTTCCTGGGCTGTGACTGACGGTACATAGCAGTGCTTAAGGAGTTTCAGACTGCCCATGGTGTTGTGAGTTCCTGCCTCTGGTTTGCTCGGACTGGGGGGTTTCTGTTGGTGATGAGGATAGTTATCCCTAGTAGCACTGAAACTCATCTTTTTTTTTTTTTTTTTTTTTTTTTTTTTTTCTGGATCTAATTATCCCACAGGTGTTACCAGTCACTTTCAATGAGTGCCAGGAGTCAGTTCCTCCAGCAGGCTTCCTCTCACAGAGAGATAATACTGAGTTTCTTGTGCAGTGGCAGGGCTTACCAGGGTTAAAAAGAAATATGCCAGCAGGCATCTGGATCCATGTATATACACTTCTTACACATGACCCAAGTAGGGCAAGTAAGATCAAATACCAGATAGTAACATGTTATCAAGAGCATATTAGCAGCTGAGTGTCAAAAGCTGCCACAGGCAGCAATCTGTTCAAACATACACTCCTTGTATGCCAACAGCAGTGGGGGGTACGGAGTATTCAGGGTAAGAAGGGTCAGGTCTGTATCTTCTTTCATGTTTTAAAATGGCTTTCTTGGACTTGTTAAAGCACTTCTACAGGGATGTAATCAATGCTGGAAAACGAGGAAAAAGACTGAGTTGCAGTAGTAAAAATCTGTTATTAAACTGCATTGGCAAGTCTTGATGGATGTGGGTGTTCAGCTCTTTTGAAAGATACGTGTAGGTGGCAGAACATGGATTCAAGTGTGTCTTTAAGCAACACCAAATTGAACTTTAGCCAAAAAGATCCAGAACCAAGGTGCTTTACAGGTACTTGTTCTTATAATGGCAAAAATATCTTTTCCAACACTCAGCTTTTCTCCCTCTTTTCCATCAGGGATGTAACATCTGGTAACCTACAGGAAGCATTGACATGCTGCAGTACATCAAGGCTAACAGTCTAATGCATGTGTAACTGGGAAATGACCTTTGGGTGAAACAGAGCCTTTAAGTCTGAGAGGAAATGAAGCCTGACTACTGCAGGTGGTAGCTCAGAAACACAATTTCCACACATTGGCGTACTCTAACTTCAGTACTAAACTAATATAGGGCATCAACCACCGATGATTTGTAGACTAAATTTTCGGGATTCCCGACAGACCCTAAGATAAAGGAGGTGAGAACGGGGAGTGCACCTCCTAGGAGACTTCTGTTTGCTTTCAGTATCCCCTGGAATAATTCACTGTCTGAGGTGGTCATTACATCCCACTGACTTTACTCTTTTTAATAAATTTGTATATTTTAATAATTAGCTCTGCATTTATGTGTGTGCATGTTGGGATGTATGATATCTGAAGAGAAGGTGCAAAGAAGATAGAGCCAAGCTCTTTTCAGTGACAAGAGGCAACGGGCACAAACTGAAACACAGGAGGTTTCCCTCTGAACATCAGAAAATAATTTTTCTCTGTGAAACAGGTTGCCCGGGGAGGTTGTGGTGTCTCCTTCGAGACATTGAAAAGCCATCTGGGTATTGTCTGGGGCAACAGGCTCTAGGTGGTCTTGCTTGAGCAGGGGAGGTTGGACTAGATGACGTCCAGAGTTCCCTTCCAACCTCAACAATTCTGTGATTCACTGAAATAATAACACATTTTAGTAGGTGTTTTCAGCGTATGTCTCAATGTTTTCTTGTCTCTCAGTAAAGATATAGCAGTAACTCTTAATAATACTTCAACTATAGTTGCAAATATAACAAAGCCTTTATACGCAGTGGATACTTGCTGACATATAAGTCAACAAGAACACTGTAGGCAAGCATTTTAGATGACCAAATACTACTTCAATTATGTGCTTGTAACTAAAGTTTTCCTACCTGCTGCTACACAGGTTGTGATAGATTTCTTTGTGACAAACATTCACTTCACAGATATAGCCACCAACTAATGGGGGACTGCTCACGCTCACAAATACTGCTTTCTGTGCAACACAATCATCGCAAAGCCCTGGTTGCCATATGTTGTAGTGACAGGGTGTATGCCATGGGATGGAAACAGTGCGCATGGACACTGGCAAAAGGAAGACTTCCTCCCCACTTGAAAAGATCTGAACCCACATTCCCTAGCCCAACACTAAGATGCTGTTCAGCTAACCAGTGCCTAGTTCCAGTGTTTTACCCTCTATGTAGAAAGTGATCTTTGGAGACATGGACAGCCTGGTTAGTGTAAGCCATGCTGGTGTTGTAGTCCAGTTCAGGATCATCCTCCTCAAGCCACCTCAGAAAACCTCTTCCCACAAGTTCCACCTTCTCAACAGGGTTCACCAGAGTACTCCTGAGGTTCAGAACCAATTGGCCATCTGTGTTGGAGCTGGCCAAATACACCTCAATCTCAGGCAGCACCAGGTTAATTGCTCTCACTGTTGACATGGGGGGAGAGCAGAAACTGGGTGCTGCTGGGGTCCAAAGGCTGGATTGCAAGGTTATCTTCTCCAACCATGGAAAACTTCAGGCTTAGTGAGGTCATGGCATGGGAGATGGGCACAGGGTGTCCCACAGGGAGACAGCTCAGCTCTGCAAGTTATGCCAGAGGGGATAGGAGACATTTGTCTGATTATTAGCAGCACCTAACCGGTAAGCATTCAACTACACATTTAGGATCAGTATCAACCACACAGCAGATAAACCACAATTCACAACACTTTAGCAAATATTGATAAACACATAGAAATTTCTAAGAGGCTTTCCAGGACTAATCCCCAAAACTTCTAAGCATGCACACACACGCATGCATGGTTAGGTGCAACCCCCTCCTGTGGGGTGCTGGTTACCCAACTCATGCACCTCTCCTTGGGGAGATGTGCGTGCTCTGCATGCACCCTACCCACTAATCCATCCACCAGTGAGAACACACCCCACAAGCCCCCCCCACTCCATCAATGTCAGCATGTTGGCTGCGTGCAAGCTGCTCACACCCCCGGCAGCAGTAGGCTGCTGCCGGCAGCACAAGCTCTGGGTTTGGTGGCTGATGTTTCCCTCATCCCACTCCTAGGTCTTGTCCTGGTCACAACCTTTCAAACTTCCTTGAGATTTCTTTCCAGGGTGACTCTTTCTACCCTCATAAATCTCCTGGTAATCTCCTGCCTACTGTTTAATTCAGCTGATCGTTGTCTTACAGTTCCTACTTTCCTCATGGTGTTACCACCAGTTTTGGTAAGACTGGTAACACCATGAGGAAAGACAGAATGAACAGTTTTGTGTATTGTCTTCACACCTGCTGTGCACACTCACCTCACAACTACATTAGCCATTGTTATCTGGGAATGCTAGCAAGAGAGGGCTGTGCAAACTCCCCCACAACGGACTACTAGCAGAGGGTCATAGATGTGGCAGATATAGACAGCATAAGCAGTGGCCAGAAGACTACAGCACGTGCCAGTAAGATCTGAGGACAGCAGGGCAGACAAAGAGCCACCACATCACCCCTCTTGGGATCGAGCTCCTGCAGGTCTGGCTGAACCCAGCAGGGTCTTGTTCACCAATGTAGGGTGATTGACAAGATTTCATTGTAATGTAGGAGGCTCCAGTGAACATGGCTAAAGGCAAGGGACTGAGATGAAACTCAGCCCGTTTTGTGTCCTGAGCTAATCTTTGTCATATCAGAGCAATTCCAGCTAGCTGGAGCTGCTGCATCTTGATCATAGCATTAACGGGAAAGACAAATTCCTTCCAAAAAAAACCCAAACCAAACCAAAACAAACAAAAAAACCCACCCCACTGTAAGGCTGATCTGAGATAGAACTGAAATGCTGTTGGACACTTGGACCAAACAGGTATGCCATGCTCTGACCCACATATATGTGAGAAAGGAAGAAAAAGGATGCATGGGAGGTGAGCAAGACTTCTTCAACCAGGGAAACAGGGATGAAGACAGCTACAACAAGGGCTGCAGTGAGGACAGGTCTGTGAGCACAGAGTGAAATCACTGGCACCTGCTTTTCAGAACCCAACTCCAGAGGAGCTATTCTCAGCTGCAGGTTGAGGATGAGGGCATGTACTGAGAAATACTGAAAATTAACTGATCGAGAAAGCCAACAGTTTAGGAAACAAGTCACAGCAACACACTGAATTTTAAGCCTTTCCTCCTCTGTATTAATCACTCTCTTTTTCCAGCATTGTCAAGATTCTCCCTCACAGCCTCTGTACCCCATTCTTGCTTACAGTATTTTCAGGTGTTTCTTTTTTAAGGAAAAAAGTGTTGAATTAGAATGCTGACTGCAAACTGTCACTCAGTCTTGATTCTTGACTGCTGCATCTCGTTCTCTGAGCCTCTGTTTGCCTTGCCTTGTTAAACATCTTGGGAAAAGAACTGTTCAATGCCCTGGGTTGTAGTAGAAGGAACAGTTTCTCAACTGGGCACAGAATTTCCAATAACAAAAATATCTTTCTTCTTATTTATGCTTGGCAGTTTTCAGCAGTCATCGCCTTGTGCACAAGTTGTGTGGTTTTGGGTGGAATAAATAGCTTATAGCTGCTTGCATGAGTGATGATATACCGTCAAGTAAAAAATTATAATTAGTGATAATATATGAATTGATTTCTAGTCTCCCATGGTTTGGTGCTCAGGCACTGATTTATGCTCTACAAAAATAGCTTATATCTATGATCTACATGCTGCCGTTTCACCAAACCAATATTTCATATCAATCTGTAAATCCCCTGAGAATTTTAAGTGCAATCTGGACATGCAATCGTCCAGAAAAGGAGGAAGCATTGCTTTAATGTCATGGTTTGTGCTTCTTCCTTAACTCCAATTTCTTGCTTGAAGTTAGACCAGCTACAAATGAGTTCTGCAAATATTGTTTCTTTGCACTTTGTGACATCTCTGACAAAATGATCTTTAAATTCCATTTCCAGAGGAGTAGTACAGTGTACTTTTAACAAAAGTAGGCTTCCAAAAGTACAGTGGGGAACATTATACTCTCTCTGTCTATGTTGATGCGTGATGTCATTGATTTTGAGCTTTCAATTGATACCAGCCAAACCAGAACTTTTTGTGTGAATCAGCTACACTTCAGAAGTTGCGAATGGAAGGAAAAGGGAACCATGCCTTGCTATATTTAATTCTGCAAACCAAAACCTGGCTTCAATAGCTTCCCCTCAGTCATTTAAAAAGCTTTTTGCAGTACCACTATATTTCATAGTTTTGTGCAGGCATCAGGGAAAACTGTGTCATTGCTCCTGCTTTCATTCTCTGAGACTCACATGAACATTGCCTTAGGTTTGAGCCTCCTGGTTCCAGCTGAAAATTTTGAACCTGAAAACTCAAGGGGAAATGAAGGGCCAAGCCCTTGAGCTTACAGAGTTGCACTGTACTAGAACACATTGATATAGGGTTGTGCTGACGAGGCCCCAGAGTAGCCAAACTCAGCCCAGGGGTGGGCCGTTGTCACTCTGGGTCTGCACAAGGACTGGCTTCCCCAGAGACTTTGAGGTCTGAAGGAACTGGATGTGCCAAAGCAGCGGGAAGACCCAGGCTTTTGGGTTCATCATAGAACTTGGACTGGTTTGCACTTTAAGAGGATTTAATATAAAATGTTGCACAGATCTCGTTTGTATTCTGCTGCTTTCCACCACTATACGAAGGGCCTGCATTTGCACACAAATTCCTTTTGTGAGTTGAGCTGCCTCTGTAGCTCTCCTGACGGTGACATGAGGAAAATGGAGTACCTGCATTTGAATTTTAAATTTATTGTGTTACAGGGGAATTAAGCCGTACTGATAGTGCTTTAGATGCACTAAATTCTTGAAGCCAACTTCACAACCATCTCATAGGCAGTGACACAGCTATGAAGAAACTGTTATGGAGGACTCTTCATACACTCAGCCCCCATCAATACAGAGGTCTTTCAAGAGAGCATGAATCAGGCAAATGACTGCAACTTCTTTTGGCCAAGCAATGTCTCTCTATGGAAAAAATAATGTGTAATAAGCACTGTGAGTGGGATGGCCAAGCAGAGCTAAATAGATAATTCTTCTTTGGCATTCCCTTACAATGACTGATTCACTTGGCAATCACAAGGGCCAATTATCTTTTAATACTCTTTTTGGATGTGTTTATGATATATTGTGCATACAAGTAGAAAATCAATGCTTTCACTAACAATGCTTTTAATTTTATTAGGGAGTGCATTGAAAAATACAAATTTTTTCAGCTCTCTTCTAAGTTTGAAGATGTTTTTATATCAATATTAGTATTCTCCCTAATCCTGATATCAACAATTACCTGTTATTTTAATGTGTTCCATGACATCCACAGAGCAGAATAACACATTGTTTCTACTGCCACTTGGTTCTCCACCAAAAGATATAAAGAGCTGTGCCATACAGCCATACAGGGAAACTAATTTTGTCAGAGGGAACGGAAGTGTAGTTGCCAGGTTTTTGTAAGCCAAAATCCCATGATGCTTTTTTTTTTTTTGTGAGGATCAGCATAAGTCAAGCTGACCATAAATTCAGAACATCTCCTTTATTCCTTCACTAATCTCAATATTTAGCAAGCACATGCAAAAGAACCACTTTAAGAATTTATAACTGTACTTGGCAAGTGAGGTGGAGTAAGAAATACAGCAGAGCCAGCAAGGCTTTAAAGGTCTACCATGATAGATCTTACCTGGAAAAAGTACTGCAAAGCTGTCGATAGCTGCTTGTAAACAGTAGAGCTTCAAATAGGGAAAACATGTTTCTTCCCTGTCAGAATGGCACAAGGTCTTGGCTGAAGCCCTTGCCTGGCCTATCTATCTGGTTGATGTGAGAAATGAGATATCGATTTTTCATATACCATATGATCGGAAACTTAGAGGAGCCACAAAGCTAGCAAACAACATACAGTTTATTACACGCTAAGTGAGATGTTGGAAAAATCTTGCAATACACATCTTTCTATTTACCAAATGCAACTTAATTCACATTATTAACTGAAGAAATATAGAACACACACTGCTAGATTTGCTTCTAGTGAGAATTGATGTAGCCAGGAACTGGCTTATGTGCAGCAGCTTTCCATGTTACAGATGATTTGTTCACTAAAAGGAAATAATTCCTTTCTTAAAAATAAGCTGTAAATCTGCAATTTTTCAGAATCACCACATTAAATTAGAAACACAGTTGCCACTCATTTCAAGGAAATGTGTGCATCCAAATCCATTCTGTATCCTTGGGATTATCAATCTAAACTCCCAGAATGATCTCTTGTCTAGAAAATACATGAGGAAATCACAGTGGAAAATTTTATATATTATATATTGTATAATATATATATTAAAAGAAATTACAAGGTAAAGTCAAGAGTACCTGTAGGTACTCACATGAAATTAAGTTCTCTGTATACAACAACATAAGATACTGATTTTTTTCTACGCAAAGTCACTTACCTACAAGAGCCAAAATGGAGAAGTCTGAAGATCCAGAAACATTAGTGGAAATGAGAAAGACAGGCTGCTGGCTACCATATTTGGCATCAATAGCAAGTTTGCATTATTTTACCCCTGCTAGAGAGACACAGTAATTCAAAACTTTTTTAATAAGCCAGAAAGTCCCAGAGGGCTGCAGTTTCCCATAGGAGGTCTTTTAATTATAGACCAGCACTCATATCCTAAGCATCTGTTCTGCTGACTGCCATTACTGTAAACAGCCACTGCATTAATCTGTCTGCATTTAAATAAGCAAGGGGATAAATAGGCCTATTTCGATTTCAGAGTGTTACTAGTGAGGTGGACAAAACACCAGCGGGTCAGCCACGGTGAAAAGCATGGGCGCAGGCCCACAGACCTTGCTCACCTCGTGGGCTGCATGCTGTGAGCAGCTTTGTTAGGAGCGCAGACGAAAACGTGGTGCTGTTCCTGACGAGTGGCTTGCTGGGGTTTGTTTCAAAGCAAGCCAGTTCAGAAGTTGGGAATGTTCCACAATACTCCCCATAAAAACCAAACAGAACCATAGAGTGAACCTGACTCTGCAATCATGAGAGGAGATATGAAAATCCCAAGCCCTGCAATTAACATAAACAACCTTCATAACAAAAGCACAAAAAACGAGCCTCTTCATCTACACAGGTATCTAATGTGAGGAAAACATAAAAGAGAGAGTCCAACTCTTGACTAGCACTAAGGTGAGCCTGCAGAGTGTCTGCAACCCCCTTCTCCATGCCCCAGAGGCTTTTGGTCAGGGCTGCGTACCTCATCCTGCAGCCTATGCTTCCTAACCAGGGCCTGTGGGTACCTCCCGGGCACATCATGCAAAGAGCTTCCCTCCC